GTGAACTTGTACGGGCCCAGTACCTGCTGCTTCTGCTGCTTGCGGCGGGTCCCCTCGCTCTGGCCGCGCACGTTGTGCAGGTAGTTCTTGTACGTCTCGAGCTGGCCAACCAAGTACGAGTTGTGGTCGCGGATGGTCTTGTACACCTCGTCGAGCTTCTGCGTCTCGGCCAGCACGCCCTCTTTGAGCGAGCCGAGATGCTGCAGTTCCTGCTCCACTTCGTCCCGCAGGAGGCTGAATCCGTCGCTCTTATCGACGACTCGGAGCTCCTGCAGCTGGCTGAGCAATTCCATCGCCCGGATACCCTTGCGCACCATGACGGCGTCGTTCTTGGACGTTGCAGCGGCGTCGGCGATGCGTTCAAGACGCAGCGGCCGCTTCGCGACCGATGACGTTGCCGGGATCGTTCGCAGTATCTGCACGAAGATCGACTTGGCTTCCATGAAGAATACCTCCTCCTGAGTGATGTCTAGCGCCGCCGTTAGATCATCGATAGCGGTCTCCCACTTGCTGTATAGCGGGAGGTTGACCACCCTGTTCTCCTTCCGCGGCACCTGAGCCGGTGCGCCGGCGAGCTCCGCCATGATGATAGCAAGGTGGGAGTTCTCGTCCTTACAAAGCTCTCCGGTGTGCTTCTCGATCAGGGAGTGCATGGCGTAGATTTCGTTGAGGGTGATGGACAGCTCGAGGTCCTTCTTGGAGAGGGCCACATAGTTGTCCATCTCGAGGCTTTCATAAAAATCCTGCACCTCGCACAGGTCCAGCATGAACTTGTTGACCCGGTCCTTGTTCTGGTGGATGAAGGGTTGCAGCTTGGCCATGTACGGTTCCTTGGCGTACGACGGCTTATTAGCCAAATTCTGCAACATCTTGGCGATGAGCGTCAACGTCCTCCTCGGGCGGTCGGCCGGCGTCCCATCAATGAGCATGTATGATTTTGGCGTGACGATGGCCGGGTTGATGAAGCGGAGGAAGAAAAAGCCGCCGATCAGAGTGCAGATGATCTGGTCGTTCGCGTCCGGATATTTCCTCTTGGTCAGGCTGCGAATCTGCTTGCAGATCCACCGGATGCCATAGGGCGCCTCCTCCAGGCCTTCGATAATAGTTGTCAGGAATCCGTTGGCGATTTCGGTGAGCATCGTTAGGCGCGGCTCGATAATGGCTTGAACCTGTGGATTCTCGGCCGCCTGTTCCTGAGTAATGCCCTTAGGCAACGATGCGGGCAGACTGCCAGTGTCCTGTTCGATTTGCTCGATCATGCGCTCGTAAACCTTGAGCGGGTTGATCTCCAAGTCCAGATCCTTGAGTTCGATCAGGCTGTTGATTCTGTTGGCTAACACCGACTTCAAGAAGCTCTGGCCGGGCCCTCTCCTCGTGTATGTTGTCATCATCCGCGAAACGGGTGTGTTTGCGCGCAGCAGGGACGAGTACTCAGGGGTGTTGTCGAACTGGTAGGTAAGGACGGACTGTGGCAGGGTGTTAGCAAGGGTAGCGCTACGCGAGCCGAAGGCGACGTACCTGGAACATGGTCAACAACAGGTGCTCTTCCCGGCTTTCGTACTGATTCCCGTAGATGGTGAACATGACTGTCTGGAGGAGCGAATCGATCTCGGCCATGGAAACCAGCCGGCAGAGATGAGCGATGTGTCTAGGTTCCGACTGCAGCAGGAACATCAAGTTTCCGTATTTTTGCGTCTTGTCGTCGTTTGGAAAGGCACCCTCCTGCATCTCAGTGGCGTCTTCAAGGTGACTTGCGACTTCGTTTTGCTGCAGAGCCGTTAGTAGGAGAACGCAAGACACCGAAAGGGATCGGACGAACCTCTTCCAAAGCCATCCGGTTCTGGATCAGCAGAGCGATGCGGGAGTCAAGGTAGCGAACATCCTTCTCGAGAACAAAATTCTTCTTGGATTGCGACGAGATCTTGGATTTCAAATCCCGCAAAACCTTTTGTGCTGCAATGCAGTCAATATAATGCCCATCATTGGCCCGGTACGCTGTGTATCAAAACCCACCTTTGGCAAGCTCGTCTTCAATGACCAGGTCGGATTCATTGGCTGACATGGACATGTAGAGGGCGGACATGGAGTACCGCTTCGACTGGCGGGCAGACCGCGAGCCATCGTAGGAGGACATGGTGTTCTGGCGGGATATGGGTTGGAATGAAGAAGACGAAGCGGTTGAAGCCCGAGAAGGTGTCTGTAACATGACAGACATGTTGGCGGGTGCCGTCGCAGGCGATTAGAGAAGGTCAGGCTGCCAGGCCCGAAGCCTCTCGAGATGGAATTGGCGGGAAGTAGACAGTTGCCAAGGGGCGCGACCGTGTTCTTTGATGTCGAGTGCGTTCTTTTCAAGGTGCGATGTGCGGGAGGATAGGGATGGGCTCAGCAAGGCCTTGTTGCTCGACACGTCCCAAGGAAGCTTTGACGGTCGCGGTTTGAGCGGCACTATGCGCCAATTGACTCGGGAGAGGTCGGGGATTGTCCGGTATTAAATTCGGAGTCGAGCGATAGGTTCGGATAGGGATAGAGTTTGGGGAGAGGAATTGGTCGAAAACACCAAATGATCGGAGGCTTTGTTCGCGCTCTCGGCTGGAGTGGTTCGTGCTCGGCCCAACAAGGGGGTCTCAGTGCTCGTCAGTGGGGCAGAAGGAGCGCCACAAAGGGGAGGAACGTGGGAGCGAAGAGAGTCCAAGACGTGGAGAGCAACGGTTTGCTTCTTCAAGGGTAAAAAATGCCGGACTGGAATGTGTCGCGCAGGTAAGAGGGGGCCAGGCTCGAAGTGCCTGATTAAGTGCAGCCTGGTGTGTGTCGTTGGCTGCAAGAGTTGGTGAGGGAGGGTGAGATAGATGGTGAATGGATGAACGACGGGAGTGCGAACTCTGCGTGTCTCGACGCTCGGGCGAGCGTGGGAGGGTGGTTCATGGGTGGGTGGGTGTGCGTCAGGGGTGTGGTGGACCCGCCGCAAAACTTCCGGTTGGGGTGAACCTGAAAGCGCACTGTGCAGCCAAAGCGATACGACTCTTGTCCGCCGGCGTAGTAAATTGGGGGGCGCTGGTATATGACTTGGAGCCAGGTAATGGAATTGGGGGAGAAAGGGATTGCCTCGCTTGGCTTAAAGGTTGCGTGGCCGGTTTAGGTACTTGTAGAGCGACTGATGGAGATTGATTTCTGAAATAGGCACATCCATACCACGGGCATTGTCCAAAGGGAGAACTGAAATCCTGGACCTGTCGCGGGTGCCGGCATATTACCTGGACGCCCATCCCAGGGGTCAAACAGTGGTGAGAAACTTCCAAGCACAACAAAGTACCTATTCGTAATTCGCTCAATAGCATAATGGAATACAAAAACAATAGAACCGATAACTACGAGAATGTGGGGGGTCCGCGTTGCAAAAACTTCCAGGTTGCTGCCTCGATCACGCTGCTCCCCTCCTCCATGTTTGTAGGGTTGGCCGAATTGAGCCTTCTCTTTCCGGCACTCTTATTAGTCGTTCCTGCCCTGACTACCTCTATCGGGTTAGTGCTCTCTGCCTCTCGTCCTTCCGCTGACATTCATACTCAGCTGATTAGTATATATTTGCTTCTTAATCTAATCTCGTTTTTGTTGTTGGCATCCTTCTCCCTCACCCCTTTTCCTTTGCTTTCCTCGTTGACTTGTGCGAGCTTGCCGAGTCTGTCACCCAAACAGGGACTCCATGCTGGCGAGGTTGGCCCTGGGACCTGCATGACAGAACGGAGAATGGAGCGCCAAGACAAACGGTTCGGCGCTAGACACAGTGCGGGCGGGGAGCGACGCACCCCTGTCCTCAAGTGGATCGTTTGTCCGTGGGAGGAAAGAGGCAAAAGCCAAAGAGCGCAACTGAGGTTCGAGAGAAGAGAAAGCCCGTTGTCTGGAACGGAAGAGAAGCGGGAAACGAGATGAAATCAAATCATGAGTGGAACAAGTAAAGCGGGAAGGGATTCGAATACTTGTCCGTGAACGGCCACAGACAATCGGCCGTGTTTCAACTCAAACAGCCCAGCCTTCGGTCCTTGGCATCAGCTCGTCCTCAACCGCTTTCAAACATCGGGTTTGGGTGGCACCTGACAGAAAGGAATGTCAAATGATATTTTGGAGTACGAGCCACATTTTTCGGTATACCGCGAGTTGATATTACCACGCCGTCTCGAAGCCTCCTGCCGCCTGGAAACGAGGCGGCTGGTTAATTCTGGCCAAAAAAAAGCCGAGCTCTAAGTGGAGGTGCCGCCGACACCTTCGACGAGGAGAACGAAAAGAAAGCTATGCGAAAGCCCAGTGTCTACCTTTTATTTTCCTCGGTTTATTTTATTTTACTTATTTTGCTCAGCTTCCTTGACATCCTTGTTTTTTTCCTTTTACTTCTGTCCTGATTTCTTGCTCCCCGTTCGTGTTGGCTTTTTTTGGCCAAAGTGTGCACACCCATTCCACGCCATCCCATGTCGCGCAATCAAGGGCCCCAGTACCCCATCAACCATCGGCACTAGTAAGTTACAGGCATTAGCGCTGCTCGGCTCCCACGGGATGCCCAGGGATCGCTTTGATCAACCTGCTCAACGGCGGCCTTCCCGGGACAAAGAGCATTCAATCAAGGAACGGCGTGCTGCATTGGGCGTTGCGTCCCTGACTAGCGATGCAACAAGAGGAATCGAGGTGGTGTTTCGGGACCTTGCGGGAAGGGGCAAAGCCATGTCAGAGCTGCCGAATGGAGACAGCCGGACGGGGCCACCAATCCATGTGACAAGGGGAAGAAGCCAGACTATTGGCCAAGCCGGTAGACCCCGGCCTCCCACATTCGAACCTGTCAGGGGCAAGAGGCATTGCCCCTCCATCCGCTGTTGCAGCCCTCCGAACCGAACACACTCAACAAGAAAGGGTGGGCGAGGCTTGGGCCAGCAACACGCGGCTGGGACGATCCGGACGGCTATGCCAGAACCCAACGTCTCTAGGCTGTTAAATTTCGACGCCCTTGATATTGGACATTAGTGGGCGGCTAGGGCGCGTGGCGGTAGCGGTAAATCGGCCGGCAAGACCCCTCCTATTTCGGGTGAGGGAGGTGTGATGCAAGTTGAGGGCTCACACCCCGCAGTGGATTCTGAACCACACCCACAGGGGCACTGGCGGGGAACCCGCACCTTGCAGGGCAATTTATCTGTGGGGGATCTCATCTTACACATCACTATCAACAACAATGGCGACGGCTTCGCCCGAGAACCACGGAGCATGCCGCCAGAGACCGGATCGAGTAGCTCTTGCGATTGCTTCTGCGGATTCCCGATGAAATAAAATTGTTTCTTCGCTCGGGCCGTCCTGATTGCGACAAAGCGCGATGGGTGCAGCCGACGCTGGATGAGCATGATGATGCGCCAAGTTTGGCTTAGCCTAATGTCTCGTGTTTCTCTCGAACGGGTTTCAGATCGACGGTTTCTACTTATAGAAAAAGCGTGCGGATCGTGAGTGGCGGCCGGTGTGATTATTTACATCTCGGGCAAGAGAGAAGCAATGTCGGGAATCTTGAGATAAGTTGCAACCGGTATGTTGGTATCTTGCTGATGAAAAAGCAACCCCATCATCTCCGCATTCGCAACCCATGGACGGGAGCCAAGCAGCACAGTTGATCAATGGGATGATAAGACAGCGAGTCTGTTGAGCCCATCCCTCGCCCCCCGGTCCCGTACTTTTTTTGTGTGTGGCCAGTGTCAGACAAACCAGAAAGTCAGACAGTCAGACCAGGACGGCACAATAGTTATGTGGCAGCGCAACAACTCGAGAGCCAAGGATGGGGGACGGCTGGGCAACTAGCCTTCATTGGTCCAGCCACGGCATCATCATACGGTCCGGGGCTGCAGGTGCCGGCGTCGACCAGCACACGGGCATCGGCGTTGCCCAACAAGCCAATCATGCTTCGCAGTCCCCTCATCCCCCGTCATCCTTCCCAGAGCCTCGGGACGGTCAAGCAGCATCGGTCACGGTCGTCATTTCAATGGTCGGCATTACGCCATCCGCCGAGCCTCGCCTTGAATGTGGGAAGAAGAGACAATCTTCACACCTGAGTCGGGCTTCATCTTATCCCCGGCTCACAACAACTCGAGACAACCAGCTCGTATGACGGCTCGGACATGAGGACGGACGAAGGCGCCGTCACAGTCCCGAGACGTTGGGCCATGTCGTTATGTAGGTCTCTACCACCGCAGCTGTCAAAATGTTGGCCTCAGTCGTACCGGCTGTGGTGCCAATGAGGTACAGAGATTCTGTAACCGACACCCAAGCACAACTTCGGTCCCGGCGGGTGTGGTTGCACCACCTCTGCTTTGAAGTTTCTCGACGATTTTATTTTCGTGCGAATCATCGTGTGGTGAAATCATCGAATCGGACCCTGCACACATCCAACGGACTAGGTGGCTATGGGCGTCAGGCATGGGACTCGGAGTGGTTTCGCATTTCGTGCTCTCATGTCAACGTAGTACATACTTCAGATCGCAACACCCAGCAGGAACAACGGCCGAGCCCGGCATCCTCGACGTCCTTGGGTCGAGGATGCCAGCCTTCGCCTCCATTCCCAGCTTGAAGCAGCTCTCGAGTTCGGGCCTTCTATTCTGAAATGGGCGCAAGCTCGAGTGTTAAAGCACTACCGCCATAAGCATGGCAGGATTCGAGCCTAAGCCCACCATCCTGCTCATCAGCCATGTCAGCGACAACCACTGATCCAACTCCCATCCTCAGCAGCTGCTATTCTCCCACCCATCCTCCTGTCTTTTCTTGGCGACGAGTCACCTCCCACACCCAATTCCCACGCAGGCAGGTCCTAGCCAACACTATCAGACTACCTGCCTCTCCTCCACAACCGAGTCTCGAATCGCAGTGCCCGGGTCTGGTCGCCAATCGCACGCCACGGCGTTCCGACGCAGCCCTGGGAGCCGATCCGCCTTGGCATCGCTCCGTGCCGACTTCCGCTCCGCGACTCGGAGCCGGCTGCCCCACTTCTCCAAAGGATGAGTTGCCTTTTTGATGCCTCGGCAAGGAGGCAAAAGGGCAAAGGTAATCAGGGTAGTGTTGGTGGCGGTGGAGAGGGTCAAATGGAGCCCCACGAGGTTGGTCGTTCGCTTCCTGAGATGCTGCACGCTTCTGCACGTTCCTGCACTGGTGCGTTGACGAGCTTGTCATCACTAATCAACGGACGGCAACAGCAGCCTGGGCTTTGCCCGGCCATGCTCGGTCTGGGACAAGCGCGGCATTGGCGTGCTTTCGTTTGGCGGGGAAGAAACCAGGCCCCCGGCTAGTGGCTCTCGGTTCTCGAACGGGAGGCGTTTTGGCGTTCCCTTCCAGAAGAAGCTCAGTGAGCTCAATTTGAGCATGTATGTAAATACATAAGGTACCTACACCACAATATTGGAGATTCTGATCTGTCGGTGGATTATGTTCAGCGTGGAACTCGATTCCCGAGAAGAATTCTCCACCCAAAACTGGTCCCCTCGGCACGCTAGTAGGGCTGAACCCCCTCTCTCTCAGGAATGGCAGGCGCGGTACGGTACATGCAGGATACCTCACAAAAAAGATAAGAGCGAAGACGCGAGATGGATCGGGATCGGGTAGGCCCTGCTCGGGATGGAGGCCCCGAACTTGTGCTTTTCTCACTTTCTTACCCGACCGACCCATTAAGCAGCTAAGGTATCTATCTATCTACACCCGGCCTACCCCCGGCCGACTCCCGTCATCACTCAGAACGGCTAATTGCCCAATCTGTCGCCATTAAAGTATTTTTTTAACCTCCATAACCCACCCCATCACAATCCCACTTTTTTGGCTTGTTTGTAGAAAAACAAACTTTTTGTCCCTGTCCCTCGCTGTGCTGTTGTGAGATGCTATTCTGTCTTCTGAGGAGTTGATGTTCCAACAACCTGCCTCACCTAGACAGTCCTGAATCTCACAAAACTTGGACCACACCGCCAAATTAGGTATTGAGGTACTCCTGCTGTGAGCGGTAAGAGGCCATACAAAACACCATGGCGGGCCATGCCCAAGACCTAGAGAAGCAAAGCACGGCTACCCGTCCCGAGACCCCACCAGCCCATCATCATGACCACCGGGTCCCGTCTTTGGCCCTCGAGAAGGATGTGTTAACCACGGTGACCCGACGGAGCCTTACCACCTCCCACACCCACTCCTCCACCGACGCGGACCCCCTTTCGCCTCTCGAGCAAGCCCTTGCAAGACCCCTATCTAGTGCCGACATCGAGCAACTCCCGCCAGACGACCCAGACGATGACGACGACGACGATGGCGCTAACCAAAACAACAAAAACAATGACCCGCTCCACCTCACCCGCACCCGCACCTCGGCCATCTCTTCAGCCTCCCGCCTACCAGACTTTGAAGTCACGCTCGAAGCCGACGACCCCGAGAATCCGCGGAACTGGTCAGTTGCCCGGCCCATCCCATTGTTTACCTCACCCACACACACCCCCACATAACCCCCCCCCCGCCCCAAAACAACACCTAACCTCCCCCCCTTCCCCACGCAGGCCCCTCTGGTACCGCGCGTACACGGTCCTCTCGGTATCCTACGCCACCTGGGTGGTGGTGCTGTACTCGACCAGCTACACGGCCAGCATCCCGGGGGTCATGGCCGAGTTTGGCGTCACCAGCCGCCCGCTGGCCACCCTGGGCCTGACCTCGTACCTGCTGGGCCTGGCGGCGGGCAGCGTGGTGGTGGCCCCCATGAGCGAGATCTACGGGCGGCGCGTGGTGTATCTGGTGTGTTTGGGCGTGTTTGTGGTGTTGATTGTGCCTTGGTAGGTTTTTTTTCTTTTTTTTTTCTTCTGGTGTTTTTTTTGTTGTTACTGTTTCTTACTTTCTCTTCTTTTTGGGGGGTTGGGTTGGGGGGTTGGTTGTGGTTTTTGGTATGCTCATGGGTATTTGTTTGCGGTTGCTTACGAGGTTCGATCTTGTTGCGAAGCGTGCATGGTGGCTGACGTTACTCTAGTGGGCTGGCAAACGGGCTGGCGGAGCTGGTCGTGGTCCGGTTTATTGGGTAGGTCTTCAACCCTTTTAGATCAAGAGATCTCCCAAACTAACACGCACAGGGCCGTCTTCGGCGCCGCCATGATTTCCAACAGCCCCGGCACGGTGGTCGACATTGCCGGCCACGAGACGCTGGCGTTGTGCATGTCGTGGTATAGTATCGCCCCTTTAAACGGACCAGTGACGGGCCCGCTGATCGGAGGGTTTGTGTACGAGTACCTGGGGTGGCGCTGGGCGAACTGGATCGCCCTGATTCTTGCGGGCGTCGCCGTCGTCATGATGGCCCTGGTCAAGGAGACGTACGCGCCGGCGCTGCTCAAGAAGAAGGCGGCCAAGATGCGCAAGGAGACGGGCGACGACAGGTGGTGGTGCCGCCATGACCAGCGCATCTCCACCCTGGACTTGCTCAAGACCAACCTCAGCCGGCCGTTTGTGCTCGCCGCAACGGAGCCCATCTTGTGGTTCTTTAACATCTGGTCAGTCCCTTCCTCCTGAACCCCTTAACCCCCCCAACCAACTAACCCCTTACCCAGGATCTCCGTCATATACGGCATCCTCTACCTCTGCTTCGTCGCCTACCCCATCGTCTTCACCCAACACCGTGGCTGGTCCGTCTCCATGACCGGGCTCGCCTTCCTCGGCATCGGCATCGGCACGCTCTTGGGCATCGCCATGGAGCCCGTCTGGCGCCGCCTCATCAACAACTCGCCCAAAAAAGACCCCGACACGGGCCGCGCCGCCCCCGAAGCCACGGCCCTGGTCATGTGCATCGGCGCGCTCCTCACCCCCTTAGGCCAGCTCGTCTTCAGCTGGACCTGCCTCCCCGCCACCATCCACCCGGCCATCCCCATCGCCTTCGGCATCCCCTTCGGCATGGGCAACACCCTTTCCTTCATCTACGGCTCCAACTACCTCGCCGGCGCCTACGGCATCTACGCGGCCTCCGCCATGGCCGGCAACGCCGTCATGCGCTCCGTGTTCGGCGCCGCCCTGCCGCTGGCCGGGCCCGCCATGTACGCCGCGCTGACGCCCCAGTGGGCGGGGACGTTGCTGGGCCTGCTGGAGGTGCTGCTGATTCCGATCCCGTTCGCGTTTTATCGCTATGGGGACCGGATCCGTGATCGGAGTCGCGTGATCAGGCAGATGCGGGAGGAGAAGGCGAGGGGGGAGAGGAGGGCGGCGAGGTTGGCGGCCAGGAGGGAGAGGGCGGAGAAGAGGGCGGCGGTGGAAGCGATAGTGGAGGGTGTGGAGGGGGCTGAGGCTTCTTCTTCTTCTCCTGTGGCTTCTGTGGTTGGGGGTGCGGGGAAGAAGGGGGAGGAGGAGAGGGAGCATGCAGCTGCGCAAGGGGCGAGGATGGCTTGATGGGATGGGGACGGTAAAAGGGGGTGGTGTTTTCAAGGTTTCAAAAGCGGCTGGATTGGGCAAAGGCGTTAAAAGTAATTATATACAATTATATACATAATCTAGTCATGTAGACAGTTTGGCGCGTCCTTGGTTGGGCATACGCCATCATCAACGCTGGTCTGTGGTAGAGCAATACAACTTTAAATCATCCATGATTTGCAGTAAGCCTTGGGCGCGGGTTCAACCACATTGCCATTTGGGTCTACTCCCGCAAGGTTCACTCACCCAGGCACAGGACTGTTGCTGCTTGGAGTTCAATTTCAAGTCGTGTTCGTTGGAATGGCTCAGAGCTAAGAATCGCCGTCGTGCGGCTAGCTAACTACCGAGTGCTATGAACCGCCTGCTCGGCTCGCCGTGATTCGGCAACGCTATCAACCTCCATTACGACGCAAGCCTCGATTGCAGAACATATGCTGCCTCGTATGAGTTCCCAAGATCTCCCAATCCTCCCCCCGGCCGGCCCACACGAATGATGCGCATCTGTCGCGCCTAGTGTATAGCCAGCCCCCAACCCGAGTCGAAAAAAAGAAAAAGAACAACAAATGAACCATTGAAGCAAAAGCCGTGTGTGATGATCTTCCAGCCCCAAACAATGCAAGACGCTAACAGCCCGACGCCGTGGCCCTGGCCTGCCGACGCTTTACCCGCCCCTGTTTCCCCCTGTGTCCCCCTTATTACCGCGCATAGATGATATGATACACCCCGCCTCAACGAGGCCCAGCAAAACAAAGCAAAGCAAACGCCTGGAAGCCCCAATGCCCGACCCCATGACCATGTACAACCGGCACACTCTTCCCAATCAGCCAACGAACAACATCAACAGTAACATCTATTTCACATCGCCATACCGGGCGCGGCCCCCTGAGCCGGTGGCCCACTCAGCGAGAGGAGGCCCGCGGCAGCCGAGTCAGCGCCTGTCTTGGACGCCATCAGGGCGAGTTTCTCGCGCTCGGCCTTCTCGCGATCGCGCTGCTCCTTCTCGAGCTTGGTGATGCGCGGTTTTCTAACCGTGCCGCCGCGCGAGCCCGGCCCGCCACCCCTGCCGCGTCCGCTGCCCTCGCCGCGGACCGCGCCGCCCCTGCTGCCCCTACCACGGCCGCCGCGACCACGCCTCGGGCGCTCCTCGGACGCGGCGGGCTTCTCGACCTCCGGGATCAGCGGGCCCGAGTAGACGAAGAAGCCGTCCTTGCTGGCGGCGGCCTGTTCCTCCCAGAGCAGCTCCGAGTCGTCGACAAAGTCGTCCTCCTTGTCGTATTCATCCTCCTTGAAATTGCGCTTCTTTCTCGCGGGTTTGGTGGCCGGCGCGCCGTTGCCGTTGCCGGTGCCGGTACCGGTCCCGTTACCCATGCCGCCCATCTCGACGTTGCTCTCGCCGGCATCCGACGCCTGCAAAATGTCCTCGTCCATCTCCTCGCCCGAGTCGACGGCCGCTACCCGTCTTCTCGAGCGCGGCGGTGGCGGCGGCGATGCGGGCCTTGCGCTCCCGACTGGCGGCCAGGCGCGGGTGCAGGGCGTCCCACCCGTAGTGTTCCTCGGCCATACGCATAAAACTAACATACTTATTGCTCTCGCCCGGAACGAGCGGAATGTGCAGCGAGATGCTAGGCGCCTCCGTCTCCTCGCCGGGGCGAGCTTTACCGAAGTCCAGGATCGAGCGCTCACCGCTGGGCAGGGGTGGGAGGGCGTCCTTCAAGCTGCTAAGCTTGGGAGACGACGATGAGGAGCTGCGCGCTTTCTTCTGGGACTCGCGCTCCTGCTGAACGACGGCGGCGATCTTTTTGCTCTGCGCGGCGGCGGCCTGGACCGGTGCTGCGGCGGCCGACATGGCGCTGGGGATTGACGTCATGCTGGTGAATGAATTGGTCTTCGACTCCTGTTTGCTAGTAGTAGGTACGGGAGGCGGGGGAGGCGGGGGAGGGCGCCTGGCGTCGGTCAAGGCGGGCTTGGGCATTGACTGAGGAGTGCTCCGCACGGCGTTGGAGGGTGATGGGGGCATAGAAGTCGAGTCCTGGAACCGCGGTTGAGAGGTGGGGTTGGTATATGCGGGGCGAGGCGAGATAACGCTAGGCACCGGCTGGGGGTCTACCAGGCTGGCAATCGAAGGAGATGCGCTGGCCCGGTTGGTAATCTGGGTGGGCGCACGTGGCGATCCGAGGGGACCCGTGCCATAGGGGTCACGCGTTGCCATTGACTCCCTGATCGGATCATATCCGCCCCTGATAGGATCAAACATCTGTCTGGCAGGCGGGGCAGCGGGCTGGGGTTTGGGTTGTTCGGGGTCTCCGTTCAGTATGTTCATCATGTTCATGGACCCGGAAGTGCTCTCCCGCTTGGGGACGGTGGGCGGGGCGGTTGGCGCGAATCCGATATCGGTGGGGGTGGTGCGGGAATCCAAAGACATGCGCATCGGGGTGAGCTCGGTGATTTTGGTCTGCCGGGGCGGGCCTGATGCGGACCGGGCGTCCATCTCGGAATTGGCGTCGCTAGCCTCGTTGGTGGCGGCCTTGCGCTTCCTCTGAACTGGCGGGGCATTTGGATCCTTAGGCTTCCGCGGCCGCCGCTGTTTAGGGGCCTCGGCAGCGTTCGCGGAACTGCCATCGGCGGGGACCTTGGGCTTGACGGTGCTGCCGGGTTTCCTGCCGGGCTTCTTGCGAGGTAGGCCGGCGGCGGTCAGCGGGACATTCTGGACGGGTTCGGCGGGTTGGTGTTGTTGCATGATGGTAAATCGAGCTACTGAACTGGGATCGACAATGATCTCATCCATCTCAATATTAGCTCGACCGGCGTGGAGCATCCGGGTAGGAGAGCCGGGCTCTGACAGGGCAGACGGCGGCGATGAGAGGGAGGGCGAAGAACTGTAATGTTGTTGCTGTTGCTGTGGTTGTGGTTGTGGTTGCTGCTGCTGCATCGTAATATTCCCGTTCGCCGCTCCCAAAGGGAAAGAAAGAGAGAGAAACGAAGTCGGGATCGGTGGGGAACGTGATGACGAGAAAACGAAGGAAACGAAGAAAACGGCTAAAACACTGTCCCCGTAGACACGCCAATATATCGAGGCTTGCTGACAACAATTCCCGGCAAGAACAAAGATAGGTGGAAAGATGTCAACACCAAAGAGCCAAACAGATGTTGCTGGCACAAAACCCCTTGCACAAGCCGCGTCGCCAATTGGCGCGTGGTGTGGTGTTGAAGGGAAACAGCCTCAGGGACTACTGCGACCCTCTGATAGGTTGCCTGATCCCCAAAGCTGGAGGTGCCTGGACTCTTCTCTGCGGAGAGCTGCAGAAACCAAAGGGGGGGTGCTTGGGTTGGCTGATTGGTGGGAATAGGTCCGAGCGCCAGGGTCGGCAAGGCGGGCTGCTTTTTATGATGACCTTTGGGGGTTGAGCTGCAGAGGTGGAGTTGCACCCTCTGAATGGCTTCAGGTCCGCGGATGTTGGACTGCGGTCGGCAGCCCCCTCGAAAAAAAAAACTAGGGAATCGAACCCAGCGTGTGGCGATACTAGCGATCAACGTGGATGGTTCAATTCAGCAAACTCAGCCGAATCTAATATGCTTCTTTGCACGATGAAAATAGGGGAAGAAGGAGACGCTCGAGATGGGTTTTGCACTCTATGTGCAAAATGTCGGTGGGAGTTGGGTGTGTTGGGAGGGGAAAAGAGCGAAGAGGAGAAGAGGAAATTTTGGGGTGCGACGGGGCGAAGAGAGAATGGGGATGGGCTCTCTTTTTGGAACTTTGATTATTTCGCAGCTGGCGAGGGAAAACCGGGGCTCTGACCACCTCAGGAACGTCACGGACGCAAGGGAAATTTTATTCTGGAAAAAAGGCGAATTAAACCACCAAGATGGACCGGGCGGGCAAGCTCGATGGGCGCTGCCGAAGGGAGCCCAAGGGGGGGCAGACTCGACTCGCAGGCAGGGCGGTGGAAGGACGGAGGCGGAGGGGAAGGGGAGGGGCCGAATGGGGAATGGGGAAACACAACGAACGAAACATCAAAGACCATGCACCACCATGGACCACGGACCATGGATGGAACCGCCGGATGGAATTGGGGCCTGGATGGGTGCATTAATTGACTTGAACGGGCATGAGGTGGCCGGGGAAAGAGGAAGGGGGGGGCAAGTCAGGTTGCCGATGGAGCCAAGCGATGACCGAGAAAGGGAATGGATGGGATAAAAAAGACATCTTCTCGCAGCTGGCAACGGTGGACAGCGATGGATGCGGGCGCGATACGGTAACGCAACAACTCCACGGCAGGTCGCGGTAATGTACAGTGCCGAGAAGGACGGCGGGATGGGAAACCAAAACCAGAAAAGCCAGTCATCAAGTCACTCGCCAGGCTTGCCAGGCCACGGAACCGAATCGTGGATCCCTTTTGCCATCGGTCATGAGCGAACATGCCGCCGGCTGCAGAACAGGGCTGCACAAGCCGAGCTCTTGGCTCAGCCCGGGGATGAATTGTCGGGGCATCACTTTTTTAATGGTGTGACAAGGATCTGGACCTGGCTGCCTCTCCCGTTCGCTGCTTTCGAGCGCGGGTGGAGCTTTAAGCTTCCGAGCCGAGAAGGCGGAAGAGGCTCGCGCGCCCGCCTGCACCTCGCGCACGGTTCCAGGTGGTACGTTATGTTACGAGGTACGTACCTGATACATCATCCATCCTTCCCGTTGGCTGACCCCACCTCCGTTTCGAATCTGGTGTGGGTGCTGCGTGACATCCATCTGAAAAGAAGCCGCGAGCTCCACATGTCAGAGACAAAACAACCGCGCTACGAACAGGGGTACACGGACCCTCGCACGGTGGGGGATCGTACACGCGCCGCGCTCCAGCATTTGGACAAGCCGATTGCAAGCTGCGGCCTGAGATGCCAACCAACTGGGCGGCTTGATAGAATAAGCGCGGAGTTTCAAAGTTGGTTCGCGAAACCAACTCCAGCGATAAACTCGGTGATAAAATCATACACCTCTTACAGTGTTGCTTGCACAAACCTCAAATGTGTCTCCAGAGATGGATATGGAAAAGTAATAAATAACTACACTTGTTACCTGTGGTTACCTAACAAATACGTCCCGAGCCAAATACCAACACTTGGTCCGTGCCCTACGGCGGAGATAAGATAAGGCTGCTTACGGCCCGAGAAACACCACCGGGACGAAACTGCGACAACTTTTCTCGTCAAATCAAGTCAAATCAAGAACAGCACGAAACTACAGTTTTCGGAAATTATCTCCTTAGCTACCCGAACATAGAGATTCTACCGTGGCCATCAACATGGATGCCACCCTAGGTATTTTGGACATCGATGCGAGAGAGATCAACGATGTTGCCCCGCCAAAGCCTCGCGCAGCATCGACGGGCTTCCCCGCGAGCAAGAAGCGAGTGTCAGCCTTCAAGAAACAGTCACAGGGAAATCCATCCACTGCTTCACCTGTTCCCACATCTGGAAACTCTCCGGCTCAGACATCAACTCCCAGGAGAGATGCAAAGGTGGACGAGCGACGAGGGATTGATGAAGAGAACAAAGCCGTCCTCGACTCCATGACGCCCGAAGAGATTGCACAAGCGCAAAGGGACCTAATCAGCGGGACAAATCCCAGACTTCTCCAAATGCTGTTGAGGCGCGCAAACCTAGACGAGCCGACCGGGCCGTCACCATTCGATGTGGCGGCCCCCGAGAGCCTACCAACCCCGAATCCCCCTGCACCACCACCACCATCTACGAAACCGCGACAAGTCACGATCGAGGACGTTCCCGAAGAGATCCACGAAACCAGACCCAAACCAACTCCCGTAAGCAACAATAATAACGTGCTTAAAAAACCCGTCGTCGACTTCGACGAAGACGCCGAGCCACCCGTGCCGCCCCCCAACCTCTTCCCAGTGACCTCTATCGGTCGGCTCAAACGCGCAGCCCCCAAACCCGCACCACCCACACCCCCAGCCACGGCCACCGCCATCACCAACGACACAAACAACAACCCCCTCGCCGCCGACATACCCCACAACACACACTTCCCGCCCGCGCCCACCGTCCCCGACCTCGACCCCTCCGACCCCAACTTCCTCGAAAACATGCACCAAAAGTTCTTCCCCACCCTCCCCGCGGACCCCTCCAAGCTCGCGTGGATGGCGCCCCTCCCCACCCCGGACTCGGCCGCCGACCGCGAGTCGCCCTACTACCCGGGGCAGGACTCGCTGCCCGTGTCGGCGCTGCGCTTCGACTTCCGCGGCGCGCTGGTGCCGCCGCGCGCCAGCCGCCTGATCCCCGTGTCCAAGGGGCTGCACCACCACGGCGAGGCCCCCGAGGCCGCCGGGTACACGGTGCTGGAGCTGGCCCGCCTGGCCCGCTCGGCCGTCGCGTCGCAGCGCTGTCTGGCGTATCAGACGCTGGGGCGGGTATTGTATCGGTTGGGGAAGGGGGAGTGGGGGCAAGGGGTGGGTGGCAGGGGCGGGGAGGAGGATGATCTCGCGTTTGGGTTGTGGAGGTGTTTAAAGGAGGGGAGGGTGCTGGAGAGTTTGGAGGAGGAGGCTGGGTTGCCCGAGTGGAAGGGCCATATGAGCAGTAAGGCTTATGCGACGGAGGCGTTGTGGTTGTTTGAGAAGGGCGGGTGGAAGGAAAAGTGGAGGGGGATGTAGCGTGTGGGGGGGTTATGGTATGGTATGGGGATAAAGGCGAAGCATATCTTATTGGCGGCGTTATGTCTATTTGGCGACTGAGCTGGATGGAAGTATTGGTTAAACCATCCACCACAAGTGTATCACAGGTCATAGCACGGACAAGTCACTTAGCGAAACCCATTATTAGAGCAAGAACTCCTTCGTATTCACCCCCAGTCCGAGGAAGCCCAACCCCATTTCTGTCTATTCCTCAAGCTCAGCAGAACCCCCATCTACCTGAGCTACCCCCCCCTATACGTGCGCCCCTGATGCCGCCAACCTGACAGGAAACGGTTGACCGGCATCCCTCAAACCTCCAACTAATTCAGGACGCCCAGATTGCCATAGCACGCGATAACGTGGCGGTCCATGTCGTAGCGGATGCCCTCGTCTGCAGGACACAACGTAACCAGCCGTCAGCATCATGGCACAACAAACCAAACGAGTAGCAGAAGGCGGGGCGGGGGGGGCAGAATTTGAGCCAGGGCTACTTACTGAGGTCCAGCGCCGAATCCTTCCACACGCCGTCGTGACCGTCCCGGCAGTTGCACTCGATGAACTGGGTGTCGAAGTGGCGGCTCGTGCAGGTGCAGCTCTCGAGGGCTTGGCCGCTGTGGGTGTTTTAGGGTTAGCTTTTGTGGTTATGATAAATGTACCAGGTGGTGGGCTGCTCGTTCGGCAGCTGTGATGTGAGTTTGAATGGTTGGTTGGTTGGTTTGTTACATCTGGAAGAAACCAACCCAGCAACAGTGTATGGGGAAGAAAGCCGATGTAATATGATGGGATGTTCGAGTCGGAAGGCCAGGTAGCTTGACTTACTGATCGCCCCAGACCACCACGCCATTGACGTTGGCCAGGCACAGGTTGAGGTTGAGCCAGGTGCTGTGCTGCTCGGAGAGGGGCTGGTCATCGCCACACATGCCGAGGAGGCGGCCCTTGAGCTCGCCGACTTTGCCAACGGTATGAATTGCTGTGGGGTCAGTCAGTTGAAATCACTCTATTTTCTCCCGTGGGGATATGAGAGAGGGACTGGGGTCAGTGATGTTTGGAGGCTTACAGCAGTGCGGGATGAAACCACCCTGGAGGCCCTGGGTTGTGGAAGTGTTCACGACGGCGAGATCATGTAGCTCGTGGACGGGGAGAACGGTGGCTGTAACAACAGCGGCACCCAGAAGAGAAGTAATGAGCTTGACCATGGTGACCATGATGGCGATCTGATGTATTGGTGTTTTGTGTTTGTGAGTTTGTGTTGTGGCACAAGGACGAGAGCGACCCCAGGTATCTCCAGGAAGGGACTGTATAACCTCTCTCAAAACCACCCATCTTCCAGCCTACTTCCTTGCGCTTGGGCGTTGCAGAAGTTTTCACGCGCCTTCATCCGTCTGAACTCATACCTTCCCACAGCCATTGTTCATTCACGATCCCAGGCCCCCACTGAATCTTGCGGAAGTTCTTATTCCCTCCCACACCGTTCAAACAATACCTCCGAGGAACCAGCAAAAAGGACGGGGCCACACACAAGAGGCCCAGTCGCCAAACAAAAATCAAACGAGGAAAGCAAGCAAGTAAAGCAAAGTAGAACATGAAGCACATAACATTTCATAACGACATACAGCCCAACCTGTTGGGGTATCTCTTTCCCCACAACCTCCCTCCCCTCTCACCCATGCTTCCCAAACAAACCCCCCTTCCCAAACTGCAGACAAGGCCAAATCCCCATACCCAGAAGAAGCCGTTCCCACATCCGCCACATAACCCCTCCACCAAGCCCTCAAGCATGCCGTATTACCCCGGACGACGGATCGACGCAGGGGTAAGAGGATGATGCTAAGAATACCCTCAATATTAACCACTGCACTGACCGTGGAGCAGACAACCAAGCCAGAAACACCCGAGGAAGCCCCCCAATCTCCCGCTCAAAGAAAAGAAGGAAAAAAGCAAGGGCAACAAAGGAAAAAACATAGTATATAGGCTCCGCTCATCGCACACGATGGGGAAGAACAGAAGGACGAACCTGTTGTTGCGACGCCTGCAGGTGCTGCTGCCCTCTCGCCTGCTGTCCCTGCTGTCCCTGCTGCTGCCCCTGCCCGCCGTGCCCGGGCTGGTTGCGGCCCAGGACGTAATCGCGGTTCTCGATGGTCACGCTCTTTGTCATGTGGTTGACCTTGTAGACGCCCACTAGGCGGGCGGCCAGCTCGAACATGTTGTTGCGGAGCGAGATGACGATGAATTGGGCGTTCTTGGTGCGCTCTTTGATGTAGTTGGCCACGATGGATACCTGCACGGGTATTGTCAGTATTTATCGCATATCGTGTGGGGGAGGTGGTTGGAGGGGGTGTGAGGCGGTTCGCAACAACAAAAGGTCAGTAACTCACATTCCTGAAATCCAAGGCGGCATCGATCTCGTCCATGACGTATAATGGCGTCGGCTTGTAGTGGTGCAGCGCAAACACCAGCGCCAGCGAGCTAAGCGTCTTCTCACCACCAGACAAGTTGCCGATGTTCTTCCACGACTTCTTGGGGGGCATCACGCTGAACAGGATGCCCTCGCTGAACGGGTCGAGCGAATCCACCAGTTCTAGTTCGGCATTGCCACCCATCGTGATCATCTGGTACATTTCCTTGAGCCGGAGCGAGATGGTGCTAAAGCCCTCCATAAAGCCCTCGAGGCGCAGCCGGCGGAGGTCGTCGCACCGCTTCTTGGCCGCATCGCGCTGTGAAATGGCACTGGCAAGGTCCGAGGATCGGGCGGCGTGTTCTTCGACGCGGCGGCGGTATTCGGCGAGCACACCGAGATCGACGTTGACGTTTTGCGTCTTCTCCTCCAGTGCTGCAATTTCCCCGAGGAGGGTCTTCTTGCTCATGTCTGCGAGTTCGTCTTTGCTGTACTGTGGAAGCTCCAGAGGCGCCGGCCGCCGCTGTTCATGCGCCGACTGGGTCACTGTCTCAACTTCGCCCTCAGCCTCGGCCTCAGCCTCAGCTTCTAATTGATCCGACGCATCTTCCATTTCAACATCTTCGTCGTCGTCGCCACCGGCATCGTTTTGAGGGTTTGGAGGCGTTTGAGGTCTCGCAGGGGCTGCAGCGCTGCTGCCGGATTCAAGGTCCGCAATGTTCTGGAGTACGAGCTTTGAGCGCTTTTCCTCCCAGTGGTACCGCTTCCGCTGGTTGTCAGAGAGAACCTTTTGGCTCTCCTCGAGCTTGTTGCGCATTTCGATCTCACTCGCCCGAGTCTCGTTGAGTTCGGCAGTTTTGCCATCCAGCTCGGCCTTCATCTCGGCAAGCTCTTGCTTTTTGGCCGCCAGTGCTTCCTTGGCTTCTTCAACCCTGGTCTTGTAGTCCTCGGCCTTGTCGCCCTGATTCTGGATCTCCGCTTCCAGTTTCTCAGAGTCCCGAATAGCAGCCTCGAGCTCCTTTGACGCCTTCGTATGGTCCTTCCTGAGCTTGGTTATCTGCTTCTCCGCCTTGGCCTTCCGGACTTCTGCACTAGACACCTCCTCGTTTTGCGACGTGATTTCTTCCTTGAGTGCGTCCACTGTCGCTCTTTGAGCGCGGAGCTTCTCACCACCGATCTCCATAATCTTGTCTTGGAGGGCCTTGATCTCTTCCTCTACACTCGAGGTCTCGCCGTGCAGTCTCTCGATGTCTCTGTTGAGCTTGGCGATCTCCTTCTCGAGAGTAACGATGCGGCTATCGTCAGTCTTGGACGGCTGGTGCTCCTTGGCGAGTTCCTTAATTCTGCGCTGGGCATCGGCCAACTTCCTAGCCGAACTTTCTACTTCGAGGTTGATCTTTTGCATCTTGGTGTCAAGCTCGGGGATCTGCTCTTTGAGAGAACGAATCCTGGCCTCGAGCTCTCGCTGCCGCTCCTGGAACTCCTGGAACGCTTGTTCCAGCTCATCGCGGTCCGCCTCAAATCTGGAGACCTGCTCCCTGCTGGTACCAGACGCAAGCTTCGAAGACATGAGCCCCTTCTTGACTGTAGAGCCACCTCCAGACATGGTACCGGACTTGTCGATCAGTTCACCGGCCAGGGTGACAACGCGCCATCGCCTGGCACCGTAAGCGATGCGGTTTGCCTGGGCCAGATCCTTAGCTACAAGAGTGTCTTGCAGCGCGTGGTAGAATGCTGGCCGGAACTTGTCATCCTTGGGCTTGACGAGATCAAACAGACGTGGCGCATTTTCGGGTGTTTGGATTTGAGACAGGTCGCGGGACCTCAGCTTGTCGAGGCAGATAAAGTTACCGCGGCCAAGATTGGTCTTCCTCAAGTACTCGATGCACTGCTGACCCGCCTCAACGGTGTCGGTGACGAAGTTGTCGAGCGCGCCACAGGCTGTCGAAATGGCGACATCATACATCTGATCGATGGCGCCGAGGTTCCCAAGACGGCCGTGGAAGCCGTCGATACGGCCGGACTCCTTCATACGCATCAGCGCAGTGAGAACATTTCCCTGTGTCTGGGTGGCGGAAAGGCTCGACCGGGCCTCGTCGGCCTTTTGCCGGGCGTTCGAAAGCTGCGCGCGTAGTTTGGGTTCTTCCTGGGTGAGCTTCTCCAACTCCGTGACGGCTCTCCTGCCCTCCTTTTGGAGGGCCGCCTTTTCAGCCTGGCATTGCTTGAGTTCCTCCGCCTTGGCTTCCTGGCTCTCTTCAATGGCCGCAATCTTGGCTTGCATCTCCTCGAGCGCGACGGCGCCGGCGCTGGCCTTCTCTCGAAGAATGGCCATCTCGCTCTCGGCCACGGCGATGGCGGATTGCTTCTGGTTGATCTTGTCCTTCCAAGGCTCTAGTGATTTTTGCTTTGCAGCAATTTGATCAGAGAGATGCTGGGTTTTACCCTTCAGGCTGTCGCGGATGACCGCGAGTTCGGCCTCCTCCTCCTTAACCCGCTGCTCGAGCGCGACGATCTCTTCAGCCCAAGTCTCGATATCATTTGCGCACTGCTCGATGGTCTGCTCGGCTTCAAAGGTGGAACCTTCGGCGTTGGCGATGGTTTTCTCTAGCTTCTTCCGCTTATCCGCAAGGAACTTTCGCTTCTCGTCGAACTTGACGCGTTCTTGATCAAACTTGGTCATCTCCTTGATCAAGGCTTGGGCTTCCTTATCCTGAGCATCATATTCCTTACTACCTCTCGAGTAGCCCTTCTCCAGTTGCTTGATAATCTGCTCGCTGCCGTGATGTTTCTCGAGTTCCGCATCAAGCTCGGCCTGCATCTGGCCAATCGCTTCCTCCGTGACGGCGATATTGTCATCACATTCGCCGACGTAGAGCTGGTACAGCGCAGATTGCTTCATAACAAGCTCGTTTTCGTCACGAATGTATGCCAGGGCCTTTTCCTTCTTGTCCTCAAGCCCGTTCTTTTCCTTCTCCACATGCTGGACACGGCCGCTCTTTTCTACACAGATTTCGTTGAGGGTTTCGACCTCGGCGGCGGCCTCCTCAATCGGCGTCTTGTACTTGGATGTGCCAATGATGTCCTCCAGATATTCGAGCAAGCCATCCTCATGCTCGTTGCCCGCCTTGGCCTTCATCTGGGCGATGGACTCAACCTCACCCTGGAGAATCAAGAAGCGCTTGTGGTCTAGATCCACACCACGGTCGCGGAGTAATGTCGTCACAGTTGTGAAGTTGGAGTTCTTGTCGTCAATGTAGTATTGGCTCGAGTTGTTCTTGAATGCCTTGCGCGAGATCTTCATGTCGGATCCGGGGATGACCTCGGACCCTCCACCAGGTTGGTCCATAACCTCGCAAAAGTGCACGGCAACCTCGCAGTGGGTCAAGTTTGGATATTGGGCCGAGTTGTGAATCAAGGCGGAGATTTTACCCTGTCTCATCTTGCTGGCTCGGAAACCAAAGACGAAGAGCAAGGAGTCGATGACATTGGATTTGCCAGAACCGTTCGGCCCGACGACGGATGAAAAAGAGGCGTGGAAAGGTCCCACTTCCTGTGTCCCGGCGTAGCTCTTGAAGTTTGTAAGGACGAGCTTGGTAATGACGGTGCGCGCCTTCGGCCCAGTTTCCTCGACGGTCGGGATAGCCATAGTGCGCGACTTGAGGATGATGTCCATGGGCTTCTCGAGGACTGTGTCCATGGCTTTGATGGGCTTGGCAGCTGCCAGCATCGTCTCGTCTTCTTGGCGGCGCTGTTCGTTGGCGGCGGTGGTCGTGATATCGGCCAACGGGACATTATGGAGGTTGGCCGGTGACACCGACATTTTTGGCGAGCGCTTGGGAGGTTGCAGCTCTGGGGTAGCCGACTTGCTCGCACGGGGGGCAAGACTCCTCCGCCCAATCGGGGTTTGGGCGGGGGCGGGCCTTTTGGGTGCGACATCCTCCTCGTCTTCGTCCGGCGCTGTGGTTGTGGCTGTGGATGTTGAAGCTACTGTCTGATCGGGGTCGAGAACTTCGCTTGATTCGATGGAGGGTGCCGAGGGTGCCGGAGCGCTGCTCTTCTTAGGAGGCCGACCTCGACGCTTAGGGGCTGGTGCTGGCACTGCTGGTGGAGCTGGCGTTGGTGTTTCTGCGGCGGTCCTCTTCCTGCCGGCTGCACGTCGGGGTGTCACTGCCGGTGCAGGTGTGAAGTCATCTCCGCTGTCCTCGGTATCTTGGGGCGCGTCGGGCATGTCCTCGTCCGAGGATTCGATGACGGCGGTGCGCCGAGTGGCCCGCCGCGTTGGCCGTGTTGACATGGTGAAAGGGTATCTGTAAGAAAAAGGCTGCGAGGAAAAGGTACGTCACAGACGGAGAAAAATCATGCAAATTTGGCCCGGCGGTCGTTTGTGGATGGCGCGGTCTCCAAACGGCAGGCGCGAAAAGGATGCTGGTCGTTGGGAGCCCCGCTGTGTTGACATTTGATTGATTGTAAACAATCAGCCACAGTGCACGCCACTGAGACAATCAACCCCTCACCTTGCTTAACTGACTAGCGCACAAAAAGCCGCGACATTATCCCCGGTAAGCGCAAATAGGCACCATCAACCAAGCCCACGATAGAACGATGCCGATTTTTGTTGACTCTTGCATCAATCGGGTCATCGGAGCTTCACCTCCATTCTCTCACACGACCAAGCTCAACCAGCAGCGGTTTGGGTTGCCACTCACGGAACTGACTCCAACCGCGAAAATGTTGGACTTCTCCCAATTCACCGCCGCATTCCCGACCGACGGCCCGAAGCCATACGACCAAAATGGCGTGCGAGAGATCGAGACCTTCCGCAAGTCATTCGAGGGTGTCTTGTTTATCGATCGCGTTCTGAAGGCGCTCGGGGTTAGCGAGGGTGGGTGCACACAACAAATCCCAGTTTATTCCCACCTACCTCCTCATGTTCACACCCCAAAAACCTAACCACCAGAATCCCGGCAGGCAAAGCATACCCTCCCCGGGGCGACAGCGGCCTGCGGACGTTGCACAAGCAGATCTGCGACACCAAGGTGTCAGCACACGCCAAGCTCTCCGCCTTCTACTACCTCCTGCTCGACTACGACGAGCTGCGGGGCGCTCGGTCCGACCTAGCCGAGGCGCTGGCCGAGGAGTCCGGCCTGCCGGCCAACTACCAGCTGCTGATGCGCGGCCTGTGGCACATGGACCGCGGCGAGTTCAAGTTCGCCCTCGAGCACCTCGCCCACCCCTCCCTCCCCTCCGAGTTCGCCGACGACATCATCACCGTGCTCGTGCGCCACGCCAAGGCCGACGACTACAGCCTACCCCTAGCCTACTACCACACCACCCAGCCGGTGCTCCAAACCTCCGAAGCCCTCGAACTCCTCTTCGGAGCACTAGCGCGGACGAGCGTGGCAGAAGCTCTCTATTTCTCGCGGGCGCGGCCCGAGGCGGCGCGGCAGCAACTGTTTGAGCGGCTGGTGGGGTCGGTGCTGGAGCACCCCGAGGCGGCCGGGGCGCGCGGCAAGGAGCTGGTCAGCCTGCCGCTGACGGCGGCCGAGGAGCGGTGGTTCCACGAGTATGTCGCCGGTGGCGGCGAGGGCCGCAAGTCCAAGAACGCAAAGGCCGTCGCGCAGATGCGCCAGGTCGTCACGGGCCGTCATCGCGGGCCTATCCCTGTGGGCGGGCTGGGCGGGCAGGGGGGTGCTGTGCGGGCGGGACGGTGAAGGGGTTGGGGGTGACGGTGTGATGCGGTGATGGGTTGTTGTCTAAGGATACCTATATGGATGGAGGCATAGCGATGGCGTTTAGGATCTCAGTGGAATACCATGGTGCTAGAAGAATGTTAATATCCCGCGTTTGCCTTTTGGGTGTCTCCAGATCTTGGTTAATTCTAAGCTCTAAGTAATTAACATCTGACTACCTGACGTCTTGCTACTTATGACCAATTCTACCGTTGAATCTCAGCTTGAGTAAAACTGAAACACCCGCTGCCGACGCTCAACTCGAATGAGAGAGGGTATATTTGTGAAATCCGTAGGGGTCGTGATCTTTGCTAGAGCAACATTAAACGCCAACTGACATGGCAAGGTGTGTGATGCAATTAGGGTAAGTCATTCAAATACAACAAAAACTAGGTGCTTGACCCTCCAATCCGATCAGCATACACCCAAGCATGATCAAGTCCAGCTCATAGTACAGACTCATATCAGTTAGACGAGGCGGCATATATAAAGTAGAAACGCAACTGTGTTTGCATTCGCAGTCTGGCTTCAAGCACTCTAATGTTAACCTATAACCAAAAGCATCTAACTCTACCAGACCTTCCACAAAAACCTTATAACTTATAACACCTTCACATATGGCCCGCCTCACCCCGCAACCACCTGTTCCACGCCCCAGAATACAACCCGGGCTTTGCAAAACCCAGAATTTCATGCAAGGTAAACAAACAAACCAGCACGGCTCGTTCTAAAGTCCGAACCCCAAATATGATTCGATCGCTATACCACCCGCCCACCCACGCACCATGGATATCATATAACTAACTCGCCCGCCCCATCCACATCTCATCTGCAACGCATCCATCTGCTAAAACATACAACAACCCCGCCGCTCTCATCAGCCGATGATTCAACAAGCCACTCGCCCACTTGCATACAAACAACCCAAAGCTAGAATTGGAGCTGCCCACACCTCCCCCTGTGTCCCCCCCTTCTCAAATACCGACCCAGGCCAGTATCATCAACACCCCCTTCCAACCTCCCTCCCCAACCCACCTCCACCGCCCCATCCCGACCTCACTCACTCATTCCCTTCTAACCTGTCCCCTCAACGCATCCACTTCCCTCTGCAAGGCATCCAAATCCGCCAATATATCCCCCGCATGCGACGGCTCCGCTGGGCCGCCCCCCACACCACCACCACCATCACCACCATCACCAGCAGCACCATTCTGCACCGACACCCCACCGCCACCACCGTCCACACTCCCCCGACTCCCGCCCCTGTCGCGATTCCTCGTCGGCGGCGGCGGCGGTTCCTTGCCAGCGCGGCTCCCGCCGCTCGACCTCCTCGGGAGCAAGCCCGGGTCTTGTGACGACACGCCAGATAGGGGTCTCGTCGGCCTCTTCCCGCGGACCGAGGCGCCACGCGCCGGGGGTGGGGGTGGCGGGACGAGTTTGGCTATCGCCGCCGGGGCCGGAGCAGGGGCCAGGGCCGAAGTTGGGGCTGAGGTTGAGGTTGATGCGGGGCCGGTGGTTAATGACTTGGGGGTGCTGTTACTGTTGGAGGCGTCGCTTGCTATTATGGGAGGAGAGGCTACGATAGGACCGGAGATTGGCGAGGGCTCGGTGGGAGCATCCGTGGGTGGCACGTTGGGCGGTGGCATACCGTAGGTGCTGGAACCGCGGGAGGGATTGGTAGGCCGACGTGGCGGAGGGGGGGCTGGGGCGTGTATGCTGACGCGCAGACTGGAAGAGCGTGATCTTGTCGAGTCCATAGAAGATCGCCTATGTGAGGGGTCTGTGTCGTCATGCTGGAGTGCTGGTGTCGCGCCCGATACTCCTTTGCTCTCTGAACGGCCGTGAGGCTGACGCCTTGGGGGAGGTACTGGCTTTCTGGCCGACTGCGCCGCTGTGGTCGCGGCATTTGACGGTGCGTGTGATGTGTTCGGGGGTGTTGATGGCCTCGGAGGCATGACAATGTTGAGCCCTGGTTGTATCTCCGGCTCCGGGGTCTTGCCAGCTGCTTCGCGGTCAAACACGTTCTCCTCAGCCTCCCCCGCGGGCGACCTTTTCGGGGCGAGGGGCAGAGGCTTGTTAGCGCCAGATGGCGTGACGGGTCGCGCGTTTGACGGAAAGGCCGGAGGTAGAGTAGCAGCTCTGTGGTTCAAACTGGTTGACGGGGGTCGTGCCCCGCCGGTTGTCCCTTTTGCCTCCCCGGCCGACCCGGGTTTAATCAGCTTCCCATGCCGCGAACTCGGCGGCAGCGGCTTCTTCTTCACGACGGTCGGAGCCTGTTGTAAAGCAACCGGCGAGCTGTTGGTCAAACCCGGGTCATCTTCTCCGCCGTGCTCTGACGTCTCGCGGGAGGTCTGTGGGGTTTCCTGAACAGCTTGCAGCGTATCGGATATAGACTGCCGTGAGGCAGATGATGTATCTGTTGCGCTTGCGCCATCGCCGCTCGGTATTGATGGTTTCCGAGTGTGCTGTGTGTATGGTGTGGTCGCCTGCGATAAACCTGTGCTTCCAGCGGCTTGACCCGTCAACAACAACCGGCCAAACGCACCAACATCCAGCCCGCCCTTTGTGCTTGAGGTCGTGTCGAGGTTCTGTTCCGGCTTTGTCACCCCGACTTCCAAATCCTCCAAGGTTTTCTGAAAGGGATTCGGTGGGGTTCGATATGTCGGTATGGATTGGGGCTCATCCCCGAGATCGGACACGTCGACCGAACCCGTTGACGGGGCATAGGTGAACGGATCGAGCTGTTCGTATGTTTTATCGCTACTGTTGCTGCTGCTGTCATCGTCGGATAGCTCGACAGGTGGGAAGCGCTGGGGTACGCCGGGAGAGTCGGGAGACGAAGGCGGGGGCGACTGCACGCGGACCTTTTTGACCACCTTTGGTTTTTGAAAGCTTGTCGTAGGGGGCGGTTGGTCAGAGCTGGAAAGCGATTGCAACTGGTGTCGAAATAGGTCCGCCGGTGGCAGAGCGGGCGGCGGACTCGGCGTTTCGTCGAATTCGGTGAACCTTGGGATGGCCGTAGGTGGGGCGGCGGGCGCAGAAGAGCCAGGGTCTTTGCGACGAAAGGGATTGTTGGAGCTGAGAGAAGGCTGTTGCGCCATGGCTGCAAACGATAGGGCCAGCAAAACAATGATCGAATGGATAAGGGTACCTTGGTGGTAGGTAGTAGTGTGATTTGGGTGGCAAGATGGCGCTGGCACAGCTGGTGCTAGAGCAGGGGGCTAGGAACCCATCGCCGTCGGGTTTGTGAAGTCTCCCGGCTCCGCATCCGACTCGGCCGTTGGGATGGAGGATGGGGTGTTGGATGATTCAGGATTCAGGAACAGCGGCCGTTGATTCGGCTATTTCACGACTTGGGCCCTCGATATGTCATCAACTTGGACGTTGCCAACGTTCTCTTCCAGAAATGACTCGATGCCCGGAGTCGCGGTTGCCTGCAGTAATCTTTAGGGGTTGCGTTCGCCCCTGGGCAGGCCCGACACGCATGTCGTTGATCAAGCGGTGGGGCTTGGCAGAACTGCCCCGCCATTCTGGGCTCGCCTAGGCTTCGGACTGGGCATGGACGCTTGCGCAGGGCAGGCCAGGGACAGCGCATCTGCATCCGTCGAACTGCGTGGCAGACCCACAGTGGAGCCAGAGCGAAAACGAAACGACCCCGCCTTGCCGAAGCTCGGGCAGGAGGTTTGTCGCGCACGAGCCAGCCGCGGGTTGGAGGGGCCCGGAGCTTGTTAGTTGGTGGGGCAAGGCTCAAGACTTCGCGTCTTCGCCTCAACAGCTCTCCCTCCCCCAAAGAACAGGCGCAGTTCGTGTTTTACAAAGACACCACCTTTCGATGCCATGATTTCACGCTAGAATTGATTGCATCAAGATAAACACAAACCAGAAGTCTTCAGGCGAGGTTATACGGAAGGAAATTTTGAATATAAACTGCATGTCGAGGATGCTCTGCGATAAGAGGCCGAGTAGATCGGTGTGTCCGGTGTGATGCCACTTTTCTTGGTTGATAATCTAATTTGTGTTCTGGGCCGCAGTATTCACCGCCTCTCCATCCGGATGGGAGAAAAAGAGATAAAAGCTACCTAGGTAAATATATGTAGAGATTGGACGGGACTGATTTGATTAAGCGCCGGCAAAGATAGATGAGAGCGCGATGCGAGAAAAAAAAAAAAGGTAAACAAGCTACGCGGCAAAGCCCGTGTTGGCGCCTCCCTTCGCTGAAGGAATGCGGCAGTGCAATTCGGGACGCTTTACGGGTACAAAACATTTCCCAGGTATAATATTACAATTCACAAGCCCCCAGGTAAACACCGGTCAGCTGTAAGCCCATTCGAAATTCGCCGCCCGCGTGATCCCAACGCCCACATGATACCCCGGTTCCGCCTTAGGAGATATGTCTCGTGCGCTGACCCGTCCTGACATGTGGTAATCTCGTGTGTTTGACCCTGGTGCTTCCAATAACGCGGATACCATGTAGCGAGCCCAAAGTGTAAGGTGGCTAGTTATTGAAACAAAATTCCAGCCGACCACGTACCCAGGAGGCAGCCGTGTCGATCCAATGTGCAAAACGGCCCGTGTCCCCTCCCTCCGCGCCGGTGCCGAGCGCGGCAGCGCCCATGCTGTCCCCCAAATGAATCCCGAGGCCACCCAAACGCCGTACTAGACAGAAACCAGACCCTCACGCCCTAACAAGAAAAAGACATCATGAGAAAACAAAGACATGAGTGTATCATGCCGAGGCCTTCTCCTTCTTAGCGGCAGCCTTCTTGGGTGCCGCCTTCTTTGGAGCCGCGGGCTTAGCGGCGGTCTTCGCGACGCGGCCCGACTTGGTCTTGGTCAAAACTGTGGGCTTGTCGACGACAGCAGGGGCAGCCGGTGCCTGGGTGGGATTAGCTGGTGTTCATCGGCGAACGATACGAGGCAGGTCGCTCACCTTCTTAGGCGCGGCGGCCTTCTTGGGAGCAGCCTTCTTAGCGGCAGGGGCCTTCTTCTCCTTGGTCTCCTTCTTAGCCGCCTCCTTCTTAGGAGCGGCCGCCTTCTTGAGTGCCGCGAGCTTAGAGGCC